GGCTCGGGCGGGGCGGATGGGGGGCAGCGGCACCTCATGGGGCTCGCTGTGGGCCTGGTACCGGGGCTGCCATGGGTCTGGGATGGGCTTGGCAAGCGTGGACCAGGCACCAGGTCCAGCTCTGGGTCCAGTCCTGATGGGTAAGGGGCGATGCTGCTTTGGGGGTTCGAGCTGGCGATGGGGTGCGATCCTCCCGAGGTCCCCTTGTGCCCTGGGTGTGTGCTATATAGGGAAAGGGAAGTGCTGCCTTGTAGGGATCCCAATACCCAGACGGGTCAGAAATGCTCCCGGGCTCATGGAAGGTTTTTCTCCTTGCTGTGAACTTTTCTCAAGAAGCAGGAGTCTAAGGCAGCCTCCCTTTTCAGGATGTATTTAACTCTGCTTTCCTCCTCCCTTGCCTTTAGGTTTGTGTACCTGGGAAATCCAAAGCAGTTCTCCTCAAACCAAACAGGTAAAACTACTTGTATTGTAGGAATATTGCTAAAGGCTTCAGTTGCAAGCAAGCAAGCATGCAAATTTTGGCAAATTATAATGCTGTAAAACGATTTTTAGACACAGCCTATCCATCTTTTTTTCTCAGGAAGTTTAATGGTTCAAAGCAGGGGTGTTTGATGAGAAGTTTGTATTACCGGGAAGGTATCCAGTCTGTTTTCGGTATATGTGTGTGGGCCTGTAGTTAATTTTAAGTAGGTAACTCAGTATTCAGAGTTTCTTTAACACAATCTGAACTGCTAAAAGCCAGCATCCTGTGACAGGCTGAAGTTTGTCCATATATTTGAGACTGCATAGTCAGCTAATGATCAGTTTTTTCCAAAGTGGGGAATGTATTATTTTTGTACTTCATTTTTAGCTATGATTCTTCTTCTTCTCACCCTTCCCCCCCTAATATGTCTACATTTTCTTCCCGCTGTCTGGATATTACATGCTCTATACTTAGTTTCCACATTTGAACTCTCAGGATCCCTTGGGATTTGGCTAAAGTAAACACACCCATTTTAGTTTGACTGCGAGTTGGTAGTGCGTAATAACCCTCAATGACTAATGACTCAAAGATAATCCTGACGTTGTACAGTCTGGTCTCTTAGTGCAAGTTTAGTTTTCCAAGGGAAAAAAGAAACCACTCCAGAAATAAAAGTACAAATCCTGTGAGTATGTGACTGACTTTGGCTCAATATTGTCTAGTGTGCTTCAAATGTGCTATGCTGCAGATACGTTAAGCGTTTTGGGTTTTTCTTTTTTAATAATGCAGAACTCAGAGGTTGCCATGTTCACGTTGCTTGCGTTTGGATTGCTACTGCAAGAAATTCTGGCTAATTCCCAAGCTGCAAATCTGACTGAACTCAAGAACATTCCACAAGAGCCATTGTACAGCTACGAAGCTCTCAACTTGCCAGATGAGCACATTCCCTACTTTCTGCATAATAACCAGCATATTGCTGGCATCTGTAAGCAGGACTCTCATTGCCCGTATAAAGTAGGTTTGCTGTTGTTTGTTTACTTGCTCGGATGTAATGTTGGGGTGTTTATTCCTGGAGTCGCCAGCAGTTGATGAGGTGGTGGGTTGGTCTCCTGGCCAGTGACTTGGTTTCATTAAGGATCGAAATTGCTGCTCTGGCAATAGTTGTATGGTTCTCTGCCTGAATCTGATGCTGTCATGAGATTGGCAAAGTAAAAAACAAAGCTAGATTTGTAGAGTATAATTTTGTAGGAGTTTTTTCCACTCCTTTAATTGCTACAGAGCTGAAATGATGATTTTAATCTGCATGACTCCTGTGCATTTGAACGATGTTGGAACTGAGTACAGTTAGCAGTTTGTAGGCCAGTGCTTTTCAGCATGCTGGAGTACTTCTGTGGGAGTGCCGGGAGTATAGGCAAATAAATGAAATGCTGATTTAATTGTACCCTGTGGTTGTGTATAATCAATTCACCTGAAGGAGGGACAGTGAACCAGCGTCCCTCAGGCTGGAGCTGCTTTGTGGACCTGGGGATGGGTGCTGTGCTCCCTCTCCTCAGTCTTTCTACAGTGCTGCAGGAGCCGGTGAAAGCTTTTAATGCAAGATTTGTTAGCAGGGGATAGTTTATAAGCTAACAACTGACTTATTTACCATTTTGCTGTCGCATAACCTGATTCGTTTGTTCTGTGTTACAGAAGTACTTGAAGAAACTAAAATCTTGCTGGGGCTATGAGAAATCTTGCAAATCGGATTACAGGTTCAGTTACCCAGTTTGTGATTATGTTGAAACTGGATGGTAAGTTTAATTTTAAATGTATGAAGTACAGTATGTTTAAAAAAAATAAATATGGTGCTCACTTTCATCTCAGCTGTATAGCAATAACATTATTGTGATATTTAGAGTTTAAAGGATGATTCTTTGCAGACATACATGTGTGAGATATATATGTGTGAGTGTATTTCTACATAACGTGTCTTTCAACATGATTTTTAAAAATTAACTTTTTAAGGAAGAAAATACTGCTTGAAATGCCTCCTACCACAATGTTTTCATTATTCTGATTTAGCCTTGAATTCAGATTCCTAAAATAACTCTGGATTTCCTTTCTTAGCTTTAAAAACAGAGGAAAAAATGTTTAAAAAAATTCATACCCTTTTTCGGGAGGATAGCTTAAAATTGTCATTGATGCTTTCACTTACATCCAGCTGATAAGTTGCTTCCTGTTTTGCATCTTAAATGGTTCTTCGTTTCCACTTTTACTGGAAAGAAATGTTATCTGCTAAAGTTATAACTAGAATTTAGCAACAGACCTTGTTTTAGTTTTGCCTTTTTCCTTCATACATCAGGGCAAGTGACATTGAGACAGCCCAGCAGATATTCTGGAAGCAGGCTGACTTTGGTTACGTTCGGGAGAGGCTCAATGAAATGAAAACCCACTGTAAGCCTGCAGCAACAGTAGGTGTTTCTGATAGATATGATGCTTTTCACTTGTTTTTAAACATCATGTTGTTGTTAATGAAATCCTACTTTTCTTTACAGGGAGATTCGTCTCTGACCTGTTCTCAGTACCTTCAGCACTGCAGAGCAACAAACTTGTACATTGATTTACGAACTGTAAAGAGAAACCATGACAGGTCTCTGATTTGCTTATGTTACAGTAAAATCAAGGGATGGCAGGGAAAAGGACCTCCAAACTAGTTGAACAAAGCTGGTGTGCTTGTTGCCATGGGCTTTGCTGCTGATCAGAGGCTTGTTGCTGAAATCCTGTTGAGATCCACACCTCTGGATTGCTGTCTGCTGCTGGCAGCAGGACGGGGGTTATTTAAACACCTGAGCTTTCGGTTTTATAGAATGGTGATGAGTGATTGAATTCCTCCCCTCTGATGGAAGAGAGGATGACTTTTCTGTGTCTTAGTCACATCCTTTCTTGATCAGGAGATACACACAGTAGAATTGGTGAGTGTCAGGAGGAAGGAGCCAGGCTCTGCTCTGGGATGTCCAATGCCAGGACAAGGGGCAATGGTCCCAAGCTGGAGCATAGGAGGTTCAAGCTGAAGATGAGGACAAACTTTGTCAGTGTGAGGGTGGCAGAGCATGGCCCAGGCTGCCCAGAGAGGTTGTGGACTGTCCTTGTCTGGAGACACCCAAACCCCTGGCCGTGTGTCTGTGTGACTGCTCTGGTGATCCTGCTCTGGCAGGGGCTGGACTGGGGGAGCTTTCCAGGTCCCCTCCAGCTCCTCATGTGATTCTGTGAATTGGTTTTGTATGAGGAACTGAGAAGGCCTTTCCTGTGCTGGGTGCCGTTACACCAGAAACAGGCATTGCATTTTTAGATGCAGTGAGGCTGAAGAGATCTGAATCTGGATCTCCCACATCCTGAATTAAAATGCTACATATTGGAAAATTGGCTGGAACCCCCCAGTACCATCATCCATTTTTCCTTCTGCCTTATCTTTGAAGTTGGTGTCTTGGGCTCATGACTCAAAAAGAGTTGTTTCATGGCTGTGATGCTGACACCCTTCAGAATGGGTTTTGTCATCTCAGCCTACCCTAGAAGCTAATTTTGACAGTGCTTTTAGCTGGCAGTTTGTCTTCAGAAAACCCATTCTTGCACCTCACTCTTCCCATGTTATATAAAATTCTTGGGTTACTAACTGGGCTGTGAAATCTGAGGTAAATTTCAGTGAGAAATTGTTACTGAAACCAAACAAAACTTCCAAATAATGCTGCTCCTTTAAATAATCATGTAGCAAAATCTAATTAAATGACTGATTTGGGATGTAAAAATGATTCCTAATAACACTGGGTGGGTTAACGCTGTTTTCTAAATGGATGTGTAGAACTCCAAGGACACCACTGTCTTTATTTGGGAATTGTGACAAATAAGTACTTGATTTATGCTGAAGAAGATACTCAGGTTTTAAATATATATGAAGTACCTTGCTGAACTGAGGCTAACTAGCCCTGGCTTGAGTATGTAATGGAGTTTGCAGAGCACTTGTAGCACTGTTGCGCAAAAGCTGATAGACTTTTACTCATTTGCATTAGATTCAAAGAAGACTTTTTCCAGAAGGGAGAAATTGGAGGTCATTGCAGCCTCGACGTTCAAGCATTTTTGGCTGAAGGTCAACGCAAGAGCCCTCTGCAGTCTTGGTAAGAGTCACTTGTCAAGTCTGCTTCCAAGTTCACTCGCTAATTCTGTTTAATTTTTTACATTGGCACTAGTAGCTGTGTGTGGGGGATTTCATACTGAGGAAATAGTTGTTCCTTTCTAAGGTTCATTTGAGAGTTCACATTAGATACCTCTGGTAATTGCACCTATGCAGAATATTCTGAACTATGCTGTGTGTAATTGTGTCCTGCCTAATTTATAGCAGTGAAAGATCTGAAAATGTGTTGTGATTTGAAGTTCTAACCTTCAGTTGTTTTCTGGACAAGATGCTGAATTTATGCCTGATCTGCCTGTAGGAGACAATTGTTTTGTTGTGAAATGCCTTCAAGTTTGCACTTGTGTCTTAGATCTCACAGTCCGTGGTGATGCTGGGGCTGGTGCAGCGCCTGGTCTGTGTGTGTGTTTGTGTTCACCTGGTGTTCCCAGGGAGCCTGTGTCTGTAACGTGAGAGGGGCACCAGGCTCCAGGCTGAGTAGGAAGTGCAGAAGGTGCTTTGTGATCGTTGGTTGAGTATCACAGGTTGCATGTTAACACTTCAAAGCTGCATTGTCAGTTAACTGATAGGGGATAGAAGCCATTAAGGTCCCTATAAGAATTCATTTTTATGCTTTTCTCATTTTGCATAGATGGCAAATTTCAGTTAAGAACAGCTGCAGAGGAGGAAAAGACTTTTCTTCTCTGTCTGCTATATTGTAATCTCAACTGCTTATCCTTGTTTCAATCCAGAAATAGCAAATACTGCATCTGCATTCATGATTCTGACCAAAGCATGCAGATCTTGCTGATGTGTCTTTGGCAATGCAAATCAAGTTGGATAGGCCACAGATCCAGGCTCTAAGGCTCTTTGGTACCTTGCTGCTGCCTTGATTTGTAGATCAAAGTTGCTCTTCACTGCTGAGATCAAAGGCGTGTTTAACCTCTTGAAGCTCGTAACCTGAAGAGCCTTCCATTACAATTTCAGATTATTTTAATTGTCAGACTCTGTAATTTTTCAGCAGTCCTGTTAAATCAAATGAACTGGATGAACAGTTACTGAATCTTGGATGCATGAAGTACACTTGTTCAAGTGTGTTAATGACAAACCATGTTCTGTGTGGTTGAATCTTTGTAGGTTTGCAGAACTCCAGACATTTACGGCATTAAACTTTAGGCCTCTAGAAGATAAGAAGTGTGACGTTGTTATTGAAAAGCCAACATACTTCATGAAATTAGATGCAGGTAATTGGTATCTTTAATATAGGGGTTTTTTTATCGTACCCACATCCAACTTGCCCAAGTACATGATACCTGTTATACCTTTGGGATTGTCAAGGTAATTTGTAATAGTTTTTTATTTTTGAAAAAGGGTATTTAAAATTCCTTTTTTCTGGGATCTGATCTCTGCTAGCAAAGAAACTGGACTGCATAACCTGGTTTGTTTCATGGTGGTTTTGTATGCCCTGTGGTCTCAAGGTATTCGTTTAAGAAACCAAGAATGAACAAGAATGTTCTGAGGAAAAACCTGAGGTATTACTTGGGCTTTGGCTCATGTGCAGGTACAAGTTCTATCTTGCAGTCCTGCAGACAGAGCTTCCCTTAACTCTAATAAAGCAGAACTAAGATCAGTGCCAGAGGCCCGTTTTTAGTGTTTCCTTGATGTCTTAACTTGCTGTTGTTGAAGCACATTGTGCTTTTGGATACTTCAGAAAGCAGCTGCAGGCTGTAATGAGAAGCAGCATGGGAAACTTACCTTTTTATTATGGTGTCTTTTGGCCACTCTTCTAATTTCTCTGAACATTTTAAAAATGTGTTCAGATTTTATATCTTGATTCCTTCCCATTAAAGGTTTGCTTTTTTTAGGGTCTATACAAATCAGAAGCAGGGGAAATCTGATTTTATGCAGGACACTACTAAGGAAAAAAAATGCATGAACCAATACAAAGTGGAGTGAGTAATGCAGAATTTTGCTGACTATTCTCTCTCTTTCTCAGGTGTTAATATGTACCATCACTTCTGTGATTTCGTCAATCTTTATATTACACAGCATATCAATAATTCCTTCAGTACTGATGTCAACATAGTCATGTGGGACACTGTAAGTCTGCTCTGCTTTTAACATATTTGTGTTAGGTTGTATTTCTGCTTTATGGAGACCAAAGCTTTTAGCAGGCAATTCTTAGCTTTCTTGTGGGCTGTTGACTTTAGCCCTGTGGAACTGGTAAGTTTTTGGATCTTGTGGTACAGGTGCTTGAACTACTGTTAGGGAACAGATTTTCTACAATAAACCATGTGCTGTTTGAACGCTACTCTGTAGCTCATCTTTTGCTAGCACATAATTGTGCCTTTATTTGCTGTGACCTCAAAAATACCATGATCTCTGTCTCATATATGGCATGTGAACATTTCATGGTGCTTTCTGTAGACATTTTTCTCTGAGAATCCTCAAGTAAATTTACTCAAAACTGTTTCTTTTTAAAACAAAATGCATCCTTGCATCTTTCTAAATCAGTCATGTGCAGCCTGTAATAAACAACTAAATGAAATCCTTGTATATACTAAAACAGAGTTTAACTCATAATTTCTTTAAATTCTTTCTTACAGTGACTTATCTCGGTCACTTACAATGCCACGATAACATATAAAACAAGTTTTTTAAGTGGGGCTATTTCTGCTGTACTGCTGTGTTGAAACCATGACTATGTTTAAGAGTAATGTAATAGTTTTACTGGCTAGTATTTAAGTTGTGTAGGAGAGTTTTAAACTAAACAACAAAAAACAAAGCAATTTACAATATGCCATATAACATGTATAATCAGGTCCAGAAATAACACAGTTCTTGACTGTGATGTTGTCCCATGCCTGTCCTGGTCTCATAAAATACTGGGTTTTCTTTCTGAGTATTTACTACTAGGACAACCAATATTCAGTAGAGAACTGCAAATATCCCCAGCTTGCTATTTGATAAGAAACCTCTTTGTCTAGAAGAGACCCTTTTTTGTATTTCTCATACATTTAGAAAGCTAAAAGAAATGGGCCTGCCAGATAAGGAAGCTCTGTAGATGTTACACAGGGGCCTGTTAATTCGACTCTGACAGCTTCCCGAAAGCTCAGATGTCAGACAGCATTGTAGATGACTCTGAAAAGCAACTCTTTGTCTTGTATCGCATTGCTGAATCAAATAACTCTTTCAAGTGTGCCATTCAAAGTAGGTGCTGTCACTGTACCATCATTTTAAATGAGCCTTAACTGCTCAGTCTGCCTCTGCTCATTGCCATGTGCAGCCAGACGATGGCACCAAATAACTGCTTCTGACCTGTCTGTGCTCACTGAAAGGTGCACTCCAGCTTATTATTCATTCTCTTTTTTTATTTTCCTTGATGTAATTAGATTTGGCCATACTTTCTAGCTGCTGTAGAAGCAGTGCACTGTTCTTATTAAACAGTAATGCCCTTAAATGTAGGTTAAACAAAGCAGAAAATGAGTAGGAAGTCTACTGTGTGTTGATTTGTGACTGCAGGAAAGCAGTGTTTATAAAGCACTTTTAAGGAGAGCAGATGGGGTTATAGGAAGGAGCACTTTCAGCTTTGAAGATCACTTCTCTACTTATTTTATTATTAATCATTATTATATATTACTCTACTAATCCGGTAGAGCAGTTCTTGCAATGCAGAAAGTAGTGTGGGTTGCAAAGTTCATTAAAACTTAATGGCAGAGGAAAGAGAAGGCAGCAGCTCTTCAAGTGAAGGAAATACGGCGCCCTTTAGATTCTCTTACACTGCACTCAATGTCTGCTCTCTTCTGTGGCCATTCGTAGTCTTATCCCCAAATTTCTTGTTGAGGATGTTTCCACATAACTTTCAAAGCAGCCTGAACCGGCTCCAGAGCTGAAGTTTTAAGTGAGAATCTGTACCAGGGCTACTGTGGTCATATTAAATTGCACTCAGAGAGCAAGAGATGGTGACTCTCAGCCCTCAGATGTGTAGGAAATGTTACAAATTTGAGGGCAAGAGCCTCTGCTGCTAAGCCAATGTTATAGGGAGTAGATGGTTCCTGAAGTGTTCCACAGAGCATGGAAGGGGGGAAGTTTTATCCTGGCCTGTAGAGGAACTTGGTGGTAGTTTGTCAGAGTAATGCAAAACGTGGGTTTCTGGCTGTTTCTTCCATCAAATCAGATCTTTGCCTTCAATTAGTGATGCAGGCGACCATCCCAAAACAGAGGCAAATGTGCAACAGGCTTGTTGTGACTTTTTACTTTAAACATTACAGCTGCACTTGAATTCCCAGGTGTTTTTTGAAACTCGGGAGTCAAAGTTCATGCCTTCTACCAGCACTGTGCTTCTGTTATTTCAAATTTAACTTGTGCTCTGTTGTCTCCAAGGAAAATAGTAGCTATTTCTTGCTATTAACCCAGAAAGTCTAATCTGCTGCAGAAGAGAATGTCTAGATTGCTAATTTATAGAACTGTTCTATTAAAAATTAACTACCTGACTGGTAATTTGAGTTAATGGCCATTGTAAATGCAGAGTTCAGCAGTGTTCTGTGCTAGGCTGTGTTATCTTAGGTCCCGTGGTGGTGATGCATGTTTTAACTGTACGTTAAAACTCTTATACGGAACCTGTAGATCATGAAGAGAGTTTTTAATACGCATTTATGTCATAATTTTGCCCTTGTGTTTTTCCTTTCCTCCTAGAGCTCATATGGCTACGGTGACCTGTTCAGTGAGACGTGGAAGGCATTTACCGACTATGAAATAATACACTTGAAAACCTTTGACTCTAAAAGGGTATGGAATTTTGTATTTTCTTTTAATTCATAGTCACTAAGTAGCAAATATGACAGGTTCCCAAACCACTTATGGATATGGGTGTTTCAGAGGAAAGCATTAATACTTTCCATGCATGTTTAATTTGCGTAATGTGAGTATTCTGCCTTATAAACAGGAGACAGAGCTGTAACCTAATTCTGTGGTGTGTCTGTGCTTTATAGAGACGGACTGAACTTTTGTGTCTTCTGAGAGGTGATATTTATGTATTAGTTTCACTTCTGCAGGACTCACTACTCAAGTTAAGGGTTTTCACATGGTACTGCCCTTCTAAGTCTTCTGATTCCTGTTTGAGGTGTTTGTCTTCCCCTACAACTGTTAGTATACCTGCTGCTTATAGTTAAAATAAATCACTCCCACCAAAGCCATATACCCATTCATTCAGAGCTCATTTTAGTCTTTTGAATCTTTTAAAGCCTGTCTTCACCAGTTAGACAGCAGAGGGTTTTTTTTCTATTTAGTTCATACTTGTTCTGTTTTGGGAGTATTTTTTTTACCTCTTCCCACACTTGCATCTGTCACATCCTAAGTGAGAGCTCTTTTGCCGTCAGGATTGTCTTTGTTCTATTCATTTGCACAGTCAAGGAAATGAGGATGCTCTTGACAGGAGCATGCAATTGCTAGCTCATTATGAGCAGTGATCCCACTGAATGAGCAGCGGAAGATAGCGGTGCAGTGTAACTTCTTGTGATCTTTCCTTGCAGGTATGTTTTAAAGAAGCAGTCTTCTCATTACTGCCTCGGATGCGATATGGCCTGTTTTATAACACACCACTGGTGAGTTCTTTTTAACCATCCTCTGTGTTAGCTAGATGTGTTTGTGACAGTATCAAACCTGAGCTGATGAATCTCTCGAGCATCTGGCTGAGCTGTCATGAAATGCACTGCATTGGAAGTCTGTGCAACTCCAAATGAAGTGATCTTCCCTAAAGATTAGAATTTGGGTTGATAGTAACTGGTTGTGTGCAATCTCCTGTGTCGCAGTTCATGAGATGCATGTTATTCCTTTTTAATGGGTGAGCACTGTGGTTTATTTTTGCAGAACACAAGACCTTGTACACTGACAGACTTTCTTGGGGGTATTAGCTCATGCATTCAGGCTGTAACACTGTGGAGAGAGAGATTTCTCTCTAAATGAAAGTGCCACTTGTATTGCAGTGAATAGTGACACGTTCAGCGCAGTGCATGATACTAGGCTTTTGTTCCACCAGAATGGCAAAAGACTGATCACAAAGAGGTTTTCTGAGCAAAATAACCTTTTGTATTAACAATTCCTTTTAATTTCAGATCTCTGGCTGTCACGGCACAGGGCTATTTAGAGCATTTTCTCAGCACGTGTTACACAGGTTAAATATCACACAAGAAGGACCCAAGGTATGATAACTGAATAACAAAACTGCGATATGGAGCTCATGGCTCTTACCAGAGAAACAGCATTAGTGAGCTGAACCCTATGGGGAATCACAGAAAGTGAGGAGTTGGAAGGGACCTGGAAAGCTCCCTCAGTCCAACCCCTGCCAGAGCAGGATCACCAGAGCAGTCACACAGACACACGGCCAGGGGTTTGGGTGTCTCCAGACAAGGACAGTCCACAACCTCTCTGGGCAGCCTGGGCCATGCTCTGCCACCCTCACACTGACAAAGTTTGTCCTCATCTTCAGCTTGAACCTCCTGTGCTCCAGCTTGGGACCATTGCCCCTTGTCCTGGCATTGGACATCCCAGAGCAGAGCCTGGCTCCTTCCTCCTGACACTCGCCCTTTCCAAATTGATCCCCATGAATGAGGGCACCCCTCAGTCTCCTCTGCTCCAAGCTAAAGAGCCCCAGCTCCCTCAGCTGCTCCTCAGCAGGAGATGCTCCACTCCCTCCATCATCTTTGTGGCGCTGCTGGACTCTTTCAAGCAGTTCCTGTCCTTCTTGAACTGAGGGAATAGGGTAATATTGTGCACTTTTTGTCCTTTCCTGTAATGCTCAGGACCTTTTTCCAGTAGGTCAGCCTTGTGAAGGCCTTCAGCAAACATTTGTGTATGTTTGTGAAAGTTCCCCTTGTGTCTTACTTCCCCAGGACAGGCTTTAGACCATCCTCCTTCTGACCCTAGGATCTCTTCCTCCTCTCCATCCTCTGTGCTCAAGGCCTTTGTGTCCTTCCTAGTCAAGCAAGATATGTGGTCAGAGCGTGCTGACAAAGTGCCATCCTTGGGTCCAGCAGAGGGGCTCCACAGAGCAGTGCAGTGAGCTTGCTCTTTATCGATCCTCACAGTTATTGCTGAGCTCAGACCAGAGGAGGAAAGGATTGAATCTGGTCCTTCTGATCCCTGCCCGGTGCCATTTGTCTGTCCCTGGGCTTTTCTGCTCTACACACTGGTGGGTTTTGCCAATTGTTGCAATGGCTGCATCGATGGATATGGCAGTTGTGGGCTTCTTGAAGTGTTTGCTAGAGAGCAGCCTATGTATTATCGCTGAGGGGCACACATTGAAAGCACTGCACAGGCATTTAGTTTTGCTTCTCCTGCTGACACTAATGGGAGTCACGCAGTTAAATCTTTTTATTTCACTTGGAGCACTTACCCCCGTGAGCCCAATTAATTTAAAAGAGGTAAAAGAAGGAGCTGTTATAGAAGTAAAGTATTTTTTCCCAGGGTTCTTGTGCACAAGCCGTCCTGAAGGCTGCTTTCAAAAACTGCTGTATAATGTGTAATACAAAGGCTCTTTTGTACTAAAGAAAATAAATCTTTCAGAAAATGTTTTATTCTTTGTTAATAGTCAGACTTTCACAAAGTTTTTTGACACTTTTAATCTGTTGGAAAATACGATTTGGATTTTAAGGTGGTTACATCATCTGTTACATGGGGAGGGAGCATGTTTAGTTGCTTAAATAATTTCCAGAAGTAAATATGGAAGTGTTTGGGTTGGTTTGGTTTTTTTTGTGAGGTCTGCCTCATAGCTAATACATTGCTGCTGCTTTCTTTTTAGGATGGGAAAATTCGAGTCACAATACTTGCACGCAGTACAGATTATCGGAAAATATTAAACCAGAACGAGGTATGGTCCTTTTTATTTTTAAAACAAATTTAACACAAGTTAAATTTTGCCTATTGAATTAACTTTATTTTTTTGGGTACAGCCAAGACATTTATCTGCTGACAAATCTTGGACAAATACATTCAGTTCTAGTATTAATTTCTTCTAATGTCCAGCCAGTCTCTATTTCTGTACACCAGACACTGAACCTTGCAGCCCTTTTTAAATATCCAGTGGAAGACTACAGATATAATACTAAAAGTATTTCCTTTTAACAAACAGACACTGCAGAGCTTCTGATAACATTAAATTATTTTGCTTTCATATAATCTCTTTTATTTCTAGCATCCCCAGTGTTGAAGGCTCTAACGGAAACCTTTGTTATGCTTGCAGATTAAAATGCATCAGCTATTGTATCTGAGGATGTGCATTCAAAGCTTAATGAATTTTCATACTGATTCACATTTTTGAGTCGTGCAACTTAGTGGACTTGAGGTGTAGCTTCTTTTGTGGTAAAATTATAATAGCTAATGTTTTCATAGCTGTCTCCGTTCTTAGCTGTTAGTGCCTGACAGAAGTGAATTGGTGTTATCGTCCCCACTGTAAAGAGGGAGAAACTGAGGCTTGTTTGCTGCAATAGCTGAGCAGCAGAATAGACAGGGTGCAGACTTGTGCCTCATCTGCTAGGCTGTCCACAGTGCATGCCCACACTGCTACATGTGGTGTGTTTTCTGGTAATGAGCACATGAGAGAAAGGGAGAAGTTAATCTTAGCTTTACTACACTTGTAAAAGAAAATACTTGGCTTTTTCCTCCCTCTTCTGCTGGCTATGGATTGGAGACTTGGAAAAACATCCTTTTAGGTTAGAAGGCCAGGCTCTAACCTGGTTTTACTTCTCACATGAGTAAAGTCTGACCTAGCAAGGTATTTTTGACAGTCCTTCTTGGCTACCAATTTGCTGCTTTAGGTATTGGCTTATCTTTTGGAAATCCAACCACATCTTCCCACTATTCCCAGCAAAATGACTAATTGAGGGGTTTAGGATTGGGTCCTGGAGCATGTAAAAGTCAACAGTAGCCTCTGTGAGAGTGCAGGAGATCTGAGCCTCCTCTTCAAGGAGTTGCTTTGCGAAGAATAATGTGTGAGTCTGAGATGGGAAGGCACAAAAGGAGGGGAGCTGCTCCTTTCTGTGGCAGGACAGTATGGTCTGTCTCATTGCAGCTCCCTGGTGGGGAGGAGTAGTGTGTAAAATAATCAGGAATGCAGGGGAGGAATTAATTGAAGGACAACACCAAATCATTGTCTTTTTATTTTCCTCCTTAGCTTGTGAATGCTTTGAAAACAGTGTCAATGTTGGAGGTCAAAGTGGTGGACTACAAATACAAGTACGTAAGTTGGTAAAAGAAACTACTGTGATCTTATGCTGCCTATGGCTGGTGAATGCTGTCTGCAGGCAAAGCTACTTATCCCCAGTGTTTAACCTTTGCAAAATCCCAGAACTGCTAAGGAAGGAAGAATGATGCTGAGGGAGTGGTGGGTGAGTGAGTTAAGTACTCCCACCCTATGATGCTCTACTTAGGAATGAATCTCTAGAGTTAGTAGGCTCAGGTTAAAGTTACTATACAATGAGCAAGTTCTGAAATCACTTTTCTTCCTGTTTCCTCCCCTCTCCCAAAACCAGCTGTGTTCCCATCACCCTTTTGGATTTACTAATGCTCTGCAGTAACTGTGGATCAACAGGGATTTCTCTTGTGTGATGCCAGTGTCTTATTTTATATGACCCTTAGTTTAGTAACTCAGCTCAGTTGCTGCTCTGGTGGCCCCTGAAGACACCACTTGAGGTCAGTTTGTGGTTCCCAGCTGTAGTGGGCACTGTACCAGTAAGAAATGGCTTGAAGAACAAGTTCCCAAGTGGTGCCAAATGGCAGCAGCTCCCATCTACTCAATGGTGCTGCCATGGATCATGCAGGGAGAGTAAGAAGCTGAAGCAGCAGTGAGAGATCAGTGTTTTGACCAAAGCAGAGACAGTGTGTCTTCTCTTAAGTATCTTTAGTCCATCCTTTCCTTGTGTGCTCAGGGTTATTATACTTTATCTGGAGCTTAGAGTCAAAGGATGGGAGAGAGTAGCAGTTCAAGTAGCTGAAAAAAGCCTGGACTCCTTATTTCTGCGTAAAGACCTGTGCAGAAGTTCGGGTTGCATATCCACACCTCTAGGTGGAAATTATATACCTCTACATTACATTAAAAACAGTTTAGGTCCTTTATGTTTGTTTGTTTGGGTTTTTTTTTAAGGAAATGATGCATTTTTTCTTAAAGGCAAGTGAAAACAAAACCCAAACTTAAAAATTTTAACTTTACAAAAATTGGACCTTTTTTTTTTTTAACAGACTCTTATGGAGTTTTGAAACCTGTCTACATTTCTCTTAAATGCTTTCTGAGTTATGCAGCATTTGTGATTCTTAATACTGTTTTTTGAAAAATCCTCTCTCTCTTTCAGTATTTCCTTAAGTTAATGTTGTACTTTTGATGTGGAACTTAATCTTGCTGAGATGGGTGGTTGTGCCAGATCACCATTTCTGTTGTGTTGTTCTGCAGGGAACTTGAATTTTCAGAGCAGCTGAGAATTACCCACAACTCTGATATATTCATTGGGATGCATGGAGCTGGACTCACCCATTTGCTGTTTCTCCCAGACTGGGCTGTGGTTTTTGAACTGTAAGTCTGCTTCTCTTTCCCCTCTTATACCACAACTGCTAAGGTCTGTTCATGTGTGTTAATGAAGCGCTTTCCCTTGCTAGTATTTGACTATGAACATTTATCTTGCATCCTTAGCTTCATTTTTGGCAGTTTCTTTTGGGAATCGGAAGTGAGGAAGCTTTCATGATAAAATACAGTGTATCTATATCATACTGGTTTAGCCTGTGATTTTTTTAAGATGCTGTGGTATTAATAAAATGCAGCCTGGTCAACAATTGCGTGGGAAAAATGACAAAGTACTCCAATCATTTCTGTGGCCGAGTCTCACAAAGTGTGGTTGTTAATAGACACTCCAGTTCTATAGAACTAAACAAAAATGCTGCACGCCTCTCAGAAGAGCACCAAATCTTCATCTTGGGAAATTCTGCTTCACGTCTCTGTTGTGGAGCTGGTGCTTTGCAGCACAGTCTTGGCTTGAGAGCATTTTGTCCAGTGTCCAAATCAGTTGAGAACCCCATGCCCAGGAGCTGCTGCAGCTGGACAGGGACATGCCCGATGTGCCTTCAACTGCCTCCTAGGCCACATCGTCAGAGCAGATGGCAGCCCCGTGGTGTTGTTTTCATTGGGGTACAATTTGTCCATGATTTCAGAGCTGGACCACAAACATTTTGGCCTGAAGGGGTTTTTTATTTCCTGTTTCACCCTGGTAAACTTCAGTGCGGTCTCTAAGTAAATAGGATTTTTCTGCCCACCCCCAGATACAATTGTGAAGATGAACGTTGTTACCTGGACTTGGCAAGGCTGAGAGGCATTCACTACATCACTTGGAGAAAGAGGAATAAAGTATTCCCTCAAGATCAGGTAATGATGGCCACTGCTGGAAGGGTGGGTGCTGTGATAGGAAACATTTAAAGGTTGGCTCGTTTTACCTATCTGTGTTCTGATACTTGAAATATTGCTGTCATTCTTTAGACCAAATCATTTGATATTAATAATATTAATTGTTTGACTTGGTATTGATGATAATGCCTTGATATTGATGATATTAATGGCTGAGGGAAGAAGAGAAATGAAATTAATTGGCCATTAATCCAAACCATCCATAACATTGCTGTTACACAGTTATTTTGCTGACTTTTTTGCCTTGGAGCAGATCAGTGAATCAGAAATTATACATGAAAATGGCAGATATTAAATTCTTTTTTCTTGATTTTTTTTTTTTTTAAAATGGAAGATGTGCTGATTTTGTTTAGACTGATTTTCTGTCTAAAAGGCCTTATTTCATTTTTCTAGGGACACCACCCAACGCTGGGAGAGCATCCAAAATTTACAAACTACTCCTTTGATGTGGAAGAATTTATGTACTTGGTGCTGCTGGCTGCAAATCATGTTTCACAGCATTCCAAGTGGCCGTTTAGGGTAAAACACGATGAATTCTAAATGAGACTTCTGACTGAAATATTATTTTTAAATAATGCTCCGTAAAAATATTGTAACAACATAAAGCAAAATGTTGGTGTGAAACGCGTAAACCTCTGCGAGGGAAATAACCCATTATTAACTCGTCAAACCACTTCTTAGCACCATACTTTGTCTTTATAATCACTCCCTTTAATTCTAGGAGTTTTTGATATGTAAAAAATGATTTTTCAGAACTCTTTTTGGGGGTTTTGCACTGTATTTTTGCATTCCAAATTCGGAAACACTCGTCTGTGTACAAACACGTCCATCCATTTCATGTAAGACTTTCTGGGGTAGATACTCGTGTTGTAATGATTTATACCTACTGATATGTGAGGAGATGCTGGAGGATGGAGAGTTACACTTGGTTGCTCAGTGCAGTCTCCCTGGGAATGAACTGGGCCCATCAGAGCAGCTCGGTTCCTCTTTTTAAGAAGCTGGATGCTCTCTATATTATGCAGTCTTGTACTGTAAGTACAAATCTGGATAGGAATTGCCTTCTTGTTGTAAGACACTGCTCAGAGTGGTGTTTGCAGTCGAGTGATGTGGTGCAGCAGTTCCAGCAGGGCCGGTTCCTTCCTTTCCATCGCCATCCACGTCCCTGCTGTCCCTGTCCCTGTGGTGGTTCTGGGTTTGAGATCTTCCTCTATGAAATAGCAGTGGTCAGAATTACGTGGTTAAGCAAGCTTTAACTTTTGTTGTCTGATTCAACAGCCACTGCAAACTTGTATTTCAGATTTAGACACATTTTCAAGTTAGAGAGCAGAGTCCTATGCTTTTGCATTTAAATATAAACTTTGACTCTTCTCCCTGTAGTTTTAAATGCTGAAATATAACAGGTCTGCTCAGTTGGTTTAGCAGTGTTTATCTCGAAGCAGGTAACTCTTTTCCTAAGTGAGTACTTAAAACTTCAGGTGATCTGGGTGTTTCCTACTTTTTCCACATAAAAAATGGAAAACCTGAGCAGATTGGTATAAAACTTGAGTCTTTTTGAGGATGCAAAAGGGAACAGACTTCTAGTTTTTAATAACAAATGATAAGATATAGGTGTCTTTCAGATGCAGCTGAAAGGAAATAAAATCATGAGCAACCTTGTTCTTGGGAGTCATTAAGAGCCCAATCTGTTAATATTCTTGTTTTCTCAAAATATCAGAGTCAATCTAGACAACTTCTGAAAATCCTTCCAAAGCCAATAGCACGGTTCACTGTTTGCACTGAAGGAAATATTAAGCCAAAGCAGAATTATTAATAAAATTCCCCTTGCGGCTGACATATTGGTGCTAGTGCAGGGGAAAAAGGGAGTAGTTGTGTTGTCTGTAGTGGGGCCAGAAGGATGTGTGGCACAATCAAGCTCAGTGAGATAAAAACCAGAGCTCTATGTTAAATTATGGATGTTTTTCGGACGATGTATTCCCATGTACTTGCAGTACAATCATACAGGCTGTGGCTTGAAGCAGAGCATGCGTTTGTATGCAAAAGCAGGACAGTTACAGTAAGTGTGACCATTTCACTGTATAATTGTAGATATTATTGACTTCCATTCTCCAACAGTCATAGGCAGTTTGACAGTGTAGGTGCATTTACTGACCTGGTAAAGGTGAGTTACTGTAAGCATAGTTTTCATCTAGATCTCTCACGACCTTAAGCAGCGCATAGGAAAAGCGAGATATTGCTGATACACAAGATGTATTGAGGTTTCTGGTGCAATTCTTAGTGTATTGTTTCACTGATGGATAAAACTGTTTTACTTTAAAAAAACAAAATACAGAAGCAAAATTGCACTTCTTGACATGTATAAAAAAAATCCCCTTGGGAAAGACAATTTCCTGTAGTTGTGTTCTGTGTATGTGGGGTTTTTTTATCTTGTGGCATTTTTAAAGGAAAAAAAAAAATGTATAAAACTTAAGTCAGTAGAATGTCTGAGTTCAAAGGAAACCAACTCAAAATAAAGATGTGTAACTGTGGACTGTGCACAGATATTTGATAATGTTTTTAATAAAAAGCTTTTTGATTAAAGACAAAACTGTAAACATTTTTTGGTCATAGTTTGAAAGGTTTTAGAGGTAAATGTTTTACATACTATTAATTGCATGGAGTCGTGTCATAGAGTCATTAATTGCATAGAGCCACTGCAACCTGATGTTCTGAGCTCCAGACTGATGCTCATAGTGATTTATCTGGGAATCATTCAGAGGTAACGCTGTCATCTTGCACCAATGGCTTCATTGCCAGGCATTTTAGGATTGATTTGTGGAAAACTTCTGTATGTGTTTCACTTTCTGCTCTGCAGCTGATGCTGTTGAAGCCCACATGTGAATACAGACGTGGGCCAGAAGCGGTGCAGAGGCGACTCATGAGGGGCTTCTCATTCAAACTCTGTCAGGACTCACTAAAACAAGTGGTCGAGCAATGCCTGAATGCATGGAGGAGAGACTGTGGGTCTCAATCCAAGGGCAAAACGTCCTGCCAACGTTCACCAGTCTCAGCAAATTTGGGTGCAGCATCAACGGTTCATGGTCAATGGATTCCTCAGCCTTTATGACTTGGTATTATTGAGGTGAAAACACAATTTTGGCCAATTAGCTTTACAAAAAGATGGAAAATTATCTTGGCAGCAGGAAGAGGCTTGATTGGATTGATGGGATTTTGCCAATAAAGCCTGAGAGAGAATTTGGACAGCAGCAAAGATCTGGCTCGTGGCTTTGTTGAGAAGGGGCCGGGTCATCTCAGTCTGCCTGGAAATTGGAATTGGAGGGAAACTATGAGACTTTGGGTCATTTGTTCTTCAGGCAGGATATACCCCTGGGTTATATTTTCCTATCAGGCTGTAGGAATGTTGTTGCTTGCTACTTCTCATTTTTTGGTCTCTCCAGTTTGCTTAAGCTTAGAGTCTGTGCTTAACCGGCACATTGGCATCAGGCTGATTAATTTAGTTTTGGGACTTAATGAGCATTGCCAATCCTGAATGCTTACAGGTCTGCCTGTATTTCATGGATTTGAAATAAAAAATAATTTATGGAGGCACGTGGTGTCTTTCCATTTTACTACAGAAGTCTTCAAGACGTATTCTCCAATTTTTCTTTGAAGTTCTGTGGAATTTGGGTAAGTGTGAGAAATGGTTTGTGATAGGGAGGTGGCAAACCAGGATCATTAATTTTAAGACTACAATTATAAATATTAAGGCAATGCATTTTTAAAACCAATTAAATAATAATGACATTGTTTAATTTTTCCTGTTAATCTTGCCAGTTGTACCATTAAGGAGATAACTCAGGGTTAGACGGTCTCTTAATCTTTTTTTTTCTCTTTAAAGCAGGAGAGAAACTGAAGAAAATGTCCTCCTTGAGAGCTTTTCATCTGCTCAGAAGGGTAACGTGCAAGGGGATCATTTTCTTTGATTCCAACATTGAATAATTGCTTCAATTTGTGGTGTTTGCCTTGAAGTTGAGCTCTTACTTCCACTCCCCTGAACGTTTCTCATGGCTTGGGCTTTTTGTGTGAAATAAAAGAATATAAATACTAAATATAAATGCTAAATACTCTTCTGGCTTTGGCCCCCAAATGGCTGAAGTATCTCAGCACTCCCTTTTTCAGTCATCAATTCTCATTCTCCTTGCGTTTCAGTTCCTCTGCTGACCTACTCTGAGCAGGAGCTGCTCGTCCCATCTACAGACTGCAGCCATCACCTTGTGTCAGGGCTCTCAAACTCATCTCAGCCCAGGTTGGTGGCTTAGCACAAGCCCACAGTTGGATTTTTTTTGCCACAAACTCATTTTTCCTGTGGTGTAAGGGGTGACTGCTCATCTGCTGTGGCCGTAAGCACAGGTCTTGGTTGTTGTTGGGGTAACCTTTTGAGAACAAAATAGAGCTGCAAGAAAATGACTGAGCCACTCTTCTTGTGCCCAGGTCCCAAGTTTTGGTAACTTCTGTGTGGGTATCTCAAATAGTGCAGCTGATAACAGCATCTTGTGTTGGTGGGGAGGGAGATGCACAGAGGGAGTGAGAGGGGTGGGCAGGGAGGAAGTGTGAGGAAGTGTAGATGCTGCAGACAGGTAAAATGAGCAGAGTTGTTCCAAAAGGCCTCAGTGGATGCAATTATCAATCAAGTGAAGTGTGTGAAACCCCACTGGGACAGAGCTAAAGGTGAGGGTAGTGAAAATGTCACTGTCATAAACTGCAAGGAGGTAGAGGAGGGAGAAATGGGAAGAGAAGGCTTATCACCATGGACCAGTACCTAAAGGGTGGCACCAAGAGGATGGAGACTCCCTTTAACAAGGAGTCATGGGGAAAAGATGAGGGGCAATGGACACAAGTTGTGTCTGGAGAGATTGCCATTGAACTGCAGAAGACATTTGTTTTCCATGAGATCAATCAGACATTGGAATAATCTATCAATGAGACATTGGAACAATCTCCCAGTGGAAGTGGTGAATTCCCCTACATTGGTCAGTTTGAAGAGTCAGCTTGACAAGGTGCTGACTCATCTCACTTAAACTATATTTTCCCTGAAGAGGTTGGACTGGATGATCGCTGTGATCCCTTCCAACCTGGTTTTCTATGATTCTATGACCCGAATTCCCCTGGGCCTGGGCCAGCGGGGAGGGGGCAGCATCCCTGGAGAGGCAGTGACCTGCAAGGGTTGCTCCAGAGGGGCTGGAAGGGGTGGTGGAAGTTGGCCAGGATGGGGTGGGGGGGG